ATTCTATTTTCTTCTTTTCTAATGCCTATTGTCAGGCAAAATATATTACTTGATGAGGATTCTTCCTACAAAGGCTTTTGGTTAAGTAGAGTATATTCAAAATAGTAATGGGATGTTTCTTTTTAAAAGAAAATTAAACTTTGGAAAAGATGTCCAGGAAACTAAGAAGTTTCCCAAATGGTTCACAAAGAACATACCCTATCCACTGAACTGGGCTAAGGGCTGTATATGGATAATGATGCTTGTATTTCAGAGTTGGTCCAGCAGAATAACATCGGTGCTGGGAAAGTTTCTGATGGTAGTAGAGAGGATTAAGCCATGACAGTCTGACACATGATGAGATCAGTAGACATCTGGGTGACAGTGGGTCTGAGGGAAAATAAAATAAGGTTGAGGGTGTGGCAAAATGGGAACAGGGCTGCCTTCTAACTGTCCCCAACTGAATCATATCTTAGTTTCAAAGCTGAATAGTTGGGGCAGGCAGCAGAAACAAGATACCCCATACAACTAGGTGGCAGTATAATCCAGCAGAAAAAAAAATACAGGTTTTAACCAATAATGGTCAAATACACCTCCCTTTTCTCAGCATAGATCCTGGCACCTAGGAGGGCACAATGTGGCCTATACTGTCAGAGAAGGTCACTCACTATATTGGTTATTTTTACTTAACTGTTTTCTCTTAGTTATAAAGGGAGGTTCAGTTGGAAGGAGGAAAATATAAGTGATTGTGACATAAAAACCAAAAACATCAATAAGACATTTTTTAAAAGAGATGGAAATTTGACTCCCAGTCCTGCTACTAACTAGCTGTTTGACCTTGGACAAGTGACTTCATTCCTCTTGGTCTTAGTTCTCTCATCTGTGAAATGAGAGAATGGAGTTCATAATCTCCTAATCTGAAAATAATGTATATCAAAACTCTGAAACCCTCACCTGGCACGACTCTCTGGCATCTAACCCAGCTAGTTCAGTGGTCATTCAAGGATCCCACCGAGGCAGATTTAAAATGTTCTAAAGTGACCTTGGGCAAGTCACTTAATCCTGTTTGCCTCAGTGTTCCCACCTGTAAAATGAGCTAGAGGAAATGGCAAACCACTCCAAGTATCTTTGCAAAGAAAGCCCCAAACAAGGTCATGAAGAGTCAGATACCACTGAAAATAACTGAACAACAACAAAAGTAGAAGACCTCTGTAGGTTCTTACTTCTCTACATATAGCATATATTCATTTGCTGGCTGAATTAAAACATCAAAGCCTGTGTGGAAGCCATAGTTTTAATTTTGTACTACTTGTTCTGAAAAGGACTTCAGATAGGTAACTGGAATTCTGAGAAGTACTTTTTTCCCCCTAACTCAGTGATGTTAAAAATCATCCATCCACACATTTAGATAATTTGGAATACAAGAGACTTTAAAAGTTGTAGAAAAATAGATATACTTGGCTATTTCTCCAGAACGTTGAAAAGACACGCATTTTTGTGCACTCTAAACAAGAAAAAGTTAGCATGGTATAGTAGATCTAGTGCTGGATTTGGAATTAGGAAGACCTGGGCTCAAAGCCAGTTTCTGTGGTTTACTAGTTGTATGAACCTGGTCAAGTCACTTAACTTCTTTTGGCCTTAGCCAACTCCCTAGGACTTAGCAACCTTAAATTGCTAACTTAAAAGATCTACGTGATTTATTGACAATTTATGCTTATATAGCTCTTTCCACTCAGGTGCTCATATAACTTTTATCTAGCTGATTATCACACTGTCCTTGGTAGTCTGGTACAGAAGTAAGCAAACTCTTTGGGGAATTAAAAGACTTGAGTGCAAGTGCCAATTCAGTCACTAACTAGCTAAGTGATCAAATAATGGAACCTTGGAGTAGGAAGGGGCCTTAGAGTGCATCTAGTCTAACCTATACCTGAACAAGAATTCCTGGTATAACATACTTGACAAATGGGAGTCCAGCCTTTGTTAAAGATCTCCCTCTAGTGAAAATGAATCTAGTAATTCCTAAGGAATCACTTCTATTTTTGGAGAGCTGGAAATTTTTAGGGATTTTTTTCTTTCCATCAAGCATCCATGTGCCTGTGCCACTTCCTCTCCCTGTGACTGGTTCTGCCCTCTGGGGCTCAGCAGAACAACTCTAGGTGTAATCTCTCTTACGCATGACAGCTTTTCAAATACTTGAAGATGGTTATCATTCTCCCCTCCTCCTAATTCTCCTTTCCAATCTATTGTTCAGTGGTGTCCAACTCTTTGTGAGCCCATTTGGGGTTCTCTTGACAAAGATACTGGAGTGGTTTGTCATTTCCTTCTCCAGTTCATTTTACAGATGAGGAAATTGAGGCAAAAAAAAAAAGGTTAAATGACTTGCCCTGGGTCATACAGCTTAGTAAGTATATGAGGCAAAATTTGAACTCAGGAAAATGAGTCTTCTTGATTCCAAGCCCAGTGCTCTATCCACTTCACCACCTAGCTGCCCCCTTTCCAATCTAAACATCTCCAATTCTTTCAACCAATCCTTACATGCTTACATCCTTGAGAACTTTCACTATCCTAATTGCTTTCCTCTAGGTATTCATAGAATCATAAATTTAGGACTGAAAAGAACCATGGAAGCCTCTAGTTTAACAATGACTTTCCCAAAACATGGCACCTAAATATGTCTTGACAAGGGCAGGATTTGGTACAACTATCACCTCCCTAGGTGGTGTTTGGGATAGAATGCTGGGCCTAGAGTCAGGAAGCCCATGAGTTCAAATCCAGTTTCATATACTTATTAGGTGTATGACCCTGGGCAAGTCACTTAACTTCTTTTGCCTCATTTTCTCCAACTGTAAAATAGGGATAATAATAGTGCCTACCTCCCAGGGTTATGAGAATAAACTCAGTTATTATTTGTAAAAACACTTAAAATAGCGCCTGGAACACTGGCACCTAATAAATACTTGTTTCTCTCCTTCCTAGTCTTGGACACTTCTTATCAATGCAGCTTTTGAGACCTCAGGCAGGTTACTTTGAAAGTCTGGATCTGTTTCTTCATCTAAACAGTGAGGCGGTTGGATTAGATGATTCCTATAGTTCTTTTCAGCTCTAAAATGCTATGTTGGTAAATACTGATATTATTATCTTCACTATAAAGACACAAGATACACAAGAGTTAAGTAATTTTGTAGATGGCCAACAAGTGGATCTGTAGTAAAGACAAAACAAAATTCATTTTCTATTGCATCTTTTAGAAAAACATTCTTCTTTCCTGAAAAGATTTTAAGCTATGGCAATTTTGATGCTATAGCCTTCCTAATCTTTTATGTGTCATTTTAAAACACTCTACATATCCACATGTACCTTGCAATATTCTTGAGGAAGAGCTCACCTTTGTGAAGGCTTGCCTTCACAAAGCAAAAAAACCCCAAACATATCTTTAGGAACTGAAATGAAATTTTGTTGAAATCTGGTGTTGAAACTAAATTATTCTCAACCAGACTTCACTTTGGATAGCATCTTGTCACTACAGCATATAGATAAATAGTCTTCTATAAAAAAAATACTAATTAACCAAAATGATAATTTTTTTAACTTTTTATTTTAAAAAGTACGTGGTTGAATTACTGAAATGCTCCTTTGTAGTAAACTTATTTTTAAATGAGTAGCTAAGGTTTGTATACAGAATGAATATCTTTCCATCAAGATAAATCAGCAAAAAGCACCTTTGAAAAATGCCAACTTAAAAGGCTTCTTCTAAATGGTCTGCAGTTTAAATTATGGACATGATTTTTATTTCACTTTGGACTATCTGCATGAAAACATCCCAGACTGGATGACTATAACTCAATTTAACAGGAGACCTAGTATCATCTGTAACTTAGTAACATATCTCTCAGATATTCATAACAGTGTCCCTTACTACCTGAAAAACTGTAAGTCAGATTTTTCTAAGTTAATTATTTTAAATTCACCAGCGGAGGTCACTATTGTAATCCTATCGTAAATTATTTTATAAGGAGAACAACCACTCCCTAGTTGTTTTGTTTTTTTTTAATCAGGATTTTCACGTGTTGAATTAGGGGAAAGTGGGGTATGCATGTAGCATACTGTAGTGAATGTATTAGAAAAGGAACCTACTCTCACAGTTTTCAATGTTAATGTTTCTTTCAAATCCATCCATTGCAGACTCTTAGACAAGACACCTGATAGCACCGAGCGATTTTTGCACTGATGTAATTACATCACAGAAATAACATTTCTTTCTTCCCATGCTTCTGAACAAAGATAGCCTCCAGAGACTCGGAGAATCATTTTTTCATTAACCAACTTTCTCCTGCCTATTCATGTAGAGTGCCGATTTTTACAGACTTTTCAAAATCCAAATAATTTTAAACTAGTTACTGCTGCTTATGAAAGAACCTAGAAATCAAAACAAATAGACACTCCCCCCGCCCCCCCTCCACTCACACAGAAAGACACACGTACACAACCCACAACCCCCGACCCGACAGGAAGCAACACATGCAACTGGCAATCCCAGGGAAGTTTGGAGGAACAGACAGCTTGTTAAGATAAATAAACTTCCCGGCGGGTTTTTATTTTATCGACTTGCGGGAAAAGCAGCTTTCGAAAACCACTGGCTAACTTCGGTCCCAAGTTAGTCAGTTTGTGCATTTACAAAGCGTCCAAGAGACCAGCAAAAGCTAAAAGACCTTTGCAATGATACAAAGCTATTTGCTTTGCAGCCCAGAAATTAGCTGGAGGAGCACACGCCCATCGACTGAGGCTGGAGAAGAAACAATGGGCGAGGGGAGAGAAAGGGCGAGTGCAGTCGGCTGTAGCTGGCCAGCCCCCAGTGGCCCAGTGGCCGCAGCGCTCGCCCAACTCCCCAGCGGAGACCTCTGAGCAGCCCGACTGCCCAGAAGGCTCCCCACTCTCCCAGCCCGCCCAGTCACCCCGACCTCCATCCGCTCTGGGAGCGCTGAGCCCACCTGGGCTGGAGGGGGAAAGGTGCTTTCACTTACCAAACAAGGTTAGGGCCATTTCGGAGCCGCTGCTGTCTTGCTCGCGAGTCCACTGCTCCCAGGGCTGGCCAGCTATCACTGCATTGGCTCAGAGCTCTCACACCTCAGAGGAAGTGGGGTGCAGGAGGGGCTGGGGTCGGGGAAGAGGGTGGTGGGGTAGGAGGTGGGGGGAAGGGATAGTGGTGGTGAGGAGGGAAGGGGAGAGATGCTGCAAGAAAAAGTTATTTATCCGTTATTGTCAGGCTCATAAAAAAAGAGAGAGAGATGCCCGACAAGCACTTGTCGCTTTCATCGGCTTACTGCCTGCACTGAGTGTGGGTGCTTTGCGATACCTGGCAGGGTGCTCGGGGAAAGCTGGGCTGCTGCCCCGCCGTGCAATCAATGGGAGGGCAAGAGGAGGAGCAGCGGCGGCGGCGGCGGCGGCGGCGGGGGGAGGGCGCGGGGCATGGCAATGACTGGGGCCGGCTCGCTCTCCTCCTGCCTCTCACTCCGCATCCTGCAGTCTCCGAGACGCCATCTTGCTGTCCCACTTGATTAGCAGCAGCCTCACTCCCCACATCCCCGCCTCACTCCCCACATCCCCGCCTCCCAGGCTGCAGCCTGTGCGTGTTCCCATGGTAACCGGGCATCCCTCTGTGTGTGTGTGTGTGTGCGTGTGTGTGTGCGTGTGCGTGTGCTGTGCGTGTGTGTATGCCCCTTCTCCTTAGAGTACAGAAGAACCTCCCCATCCTTCCTAACACACTCACACACAGGCACACACACACACACACACCAAGCTTGCCTCGTAGTTTGTGTGTAGGAGAAACAGAGAGAGAAAGAGAGAGGAAGGGAGAGAAAAAACGAGGGAGAGAGGGAAGAGAAGTGGGAGGGAGGAAGGGTGAGAAGGAAGGGGAGAGAGGGAAGAAGAGGCGAGGGGACAGAGGGGGGGGGGGAGAGAGAGAGGGAGGGAAAACGGACTCAGTATCTGGCCTCGGTATCCCCAGACTTTTCTTTGAATGGGTTTTGAAGAGGAGCAGACATCAGCTATTACTCTAAAGAGAAAGAGTCGAGGATCTGGGTGTCCTCCCCTTGCTCAAGGAAGATAAGAGGCCAGCACAAAGACTGGGAGCATGGGTGGCAGTGGATTCGTTCAGTGAGGAATCACGTAGATAAGAGAGTGCTTTGGGTTGACCGAACTGGACTTGAAGCTCCCAAGATGTGACTAGAGCTTCTCTGAGGCTGTGTTTGGGCTTAGGGTCTGGGTTTTGATCTCAAATTATCTCTAGGGAAACAGGAATCCTGTTAAGAGCTTTTCTGGGATGGGAGAGTAATTTGCTAACCTAGGTAGGTCAGGGTCAGGTCTAATTTCCTTTGACATTTTTTCACACCCTCCCTCCCCCCTCAAGGACGAATATTTTTCACTAGCTGGAGCTTTAAACTTTCCTACGATAGACTGATCCTCGAGCCATTTGTATTTCCCTGTTAATTACTGCAGGTTTTGTTTGGTTGTTTGTTCATGTAGCTCTCTCTCCTACCACAGGGCTTTCTTAATTAAGGAGTATCCATAAAATGTATGAGATGATCTGTCAAAAGGTGCATTTGAAAAAAAGTTATAATTTTCCTAATCTCTTACTGTTGGATTTTTTTAAATTTAATGTTCCCTACTTGCCATGTTCCTTTCCTGTAAAAACAAACAAACAAAAAACCCCTTCATTTTCCCCTATTTGATACCATCTCTCTATCCAGTTTTGTAGCTTAAAAAAATCTTCCTCTGTTTAGTTCTCTTTTCTTTCCCTCTGTGGATATCCTCCACCATATGAATGCTGCACATTTTTCAGTACCTGCAGTTCCTTTAAGTCACTTTCCCTCTTTTCTACAATTTTCAAGTTGTTTCCAGAATATCATATAAATATTTTCTTCGTAAGTCATTTCCAGGAACAAATCTCTATAAAAATGAGAATGAAAGACAAATCAATTCAGCATCATTAATCCACTGCAGACAGAAGGGAGGGGGGAGAGATAGGTGGGCTGAGGAGGAGGAGCCAGGCCTTTTGTTTGAAGTCAGACAGCTCTGATAGTTAAAAAAAACAAAAGAAGAGGGGGAGAAATTAAAAAAAAATAACCCAACATGAATAGACAGATGTTTTAGATACTGTGCGTTTGGATTCCCTCCCCCTAATCCTTAGTGTTGAATAGCTCACTTCAAATCACTGATATCAAAACAAATCTTCAAACCCCCCCAAATTTAAATCTGTAATTAAAATCTATCTTCACTTGTACTTAACCCTATCCTTTTGAACTGCACTTTTTTCTGCTGAAATATAACAAATAAGAAATCACATCTAGTCAGGAAATATAGGAAGCCAGAAGAAGCTCTAAGAATAGGAATCTCTGGGCATTTAAAATTTGCCATCTGTCTGATATTTATCTATACAACAGAGAAATCAAAGCCTCCATTCAGTGTCTAGAAAGTTTCCCTCTCAGGGCAGCTACGTGGTACAGTGGATAGAGCACCAGCCCTGGAGTCAGCAGGACCTGAGTTCAGATCCAACCCCAAACAAATAATGGCTGTGTGACCTTGGGGAAGTCACTTAACCTTGATTGTTTAAAAAAAAAGTTTCCCTCTCTTCAGCTTGCAGAGCTCCCACTGAACTCAAAAATGACTCATGAACCTAAACTAAGAGTCAAGAGAACTGGATTCTAGTCTTCAAACTAGCTGTGAGGTCTTGAGCAAAGCATTTAGCATCTCTAGACCACATTTTCCTCATCTATAAAAACATGGGGTTGCAATAGATAACAAAGAGATTCAAGATCCATATCTAGATTCTAAAGCTGACATTATGTCCTGTAGCATAAGTATTTTTTTCCTTTTCATACAATATTAGAAAGTGTGCAGTCTCAAAATTAAATAAATATTTTTGCATAGAACCAGGATGAGAGTCACATAAGGAAGGTGCTATATCCCTCATGATTCTTCTTTATTGTATGTAGTATGATTTTTCTTACAATCTTAAAAAAGCTTTTCTTCATGAAAGAGTCTTTGTTATAGAGGGTGCCCAGAGAAAAGCCACCAGCATGGTAAAGGACCTTGAGCTCATGCCACACAAAGATCAGTTTAAGCAACTGGGCAGGTTCAGTAGAGAAAGAAGACTTGGGGGAGACATGATCTTTGTCTTCAAGTATTTGGAAAGCTATCATATGGAAGAGGGCTATGATTTGTTCACCTTGGGCTAAGAAGGCAGAACTGGGAGTAATGTATGAAACTTGCAGGGAGGCCAATTTAGATTTGATTAAAAAAAAAATCCTAACAATTAGAGTTATCCAAAAGAGGAATTAGCTTGCCTCCAGAAGTAGTGGGTCTCTCACTCAGTTGAGATGATTAGGCAAACTCTCAATGAATTTGATCATTTGCCAAGTGTGTTGTAGAAGGGATTCTTGTCCAGGTGTAGGTTGAAACAGAAGTCAGTGCAGGCCCTTTCCAATTCTAACATTCTGTGAATATTACCCAGTGCTCAGTTTTTGATCCGATAGACCAGGGTTGTTTTTTTTTAATTTATTTATTTTGAATTATCAACAATCACTTCCATAAGCTTTCGAGTTTTAAATTTTCTCCCCCTCCCTCCACACCTCCCTCCCCAAGATGGCTCGAAATCTGATATAGGCTATACATATACTTTCCTATTAAACATATTTTCACATTAGTGATGTTGTAAGTAAGAATTAAAACCAATAGGAGGAACCACCAGAAAGACGAAACAAAACACAACAGAAGAAAAAAAAATAGCAAATAGTGTGCTTTGATCTGCATTCAAACTCCATAGTTCTTTCTTCTTTGTGGATAGCATTTTCCATCACAAGGCCTTTGGAGATGTCTTAGATCCTTGTATTGCTTAGACCAGGGTTTCTTGACCTAAGATCCACAAATTAAAAAAAATATTGTGATAACTATTTCAGCATAATTTATTTCCTTTGTAATCTTATAGATTTTATTTTATACATTAAAAACTATTCTGAGAAGGAGCTCATAGGTTTTGCCAGACTTCCAAAGGGGTACCTGACATAATAAAGGTTAAGAATCTTTCCTATAGACATCATTTCAAAACAAAGAGCAATTATTTCAAATCACAAAAAGATATGTGAGATACAGTAAACTAATGGATTAATATACCATGTATATACATGTATATACATATCTATATATAATGTATATGTATGTGTATGTATACATATACGTGTTTATTCACTCATCAGATTATTTATTTCTCCTATAAACTTAACCTTGTATGATCTGAATTGTGTCAGTCAGGACACATGTTGGATAGTATTCTAAAGAAAAGGGGGAAAAGTGAGGAGTGGCTTCATGTTCAGTGGAAAAGTAATTCAAAATTTATTTTTCTAAAATTTCTATGCATTCATGGAAGTTTTTAATACCTTGGAAAAAATAAATTTAAATACCACCACCACCATCACCCAAATACTCTCCTTCATCTTTTAAAGTCATTACATGTAATTAAATTAAGCACTGGAACAGGAAGAGAGAAGTGAGTAGGTAATATACTCATGTAAATATTTTTTCAATCTTCAAAAGTTGCTGCCTTTTTGATATTTCATTGTTGTCTCTTATTGTAACAGTCTTATATTTGATGAGTATAATAGTTAAAGCTGAAAAGTAACCTAGTCAATGCCCTCATTTTAAACAGAAACAAACTGAGCCCTAGAGAAGGGAAGTGACTTTCCCCAAGGCTAGATGACTACAAAGTAACAAATCTAGAACAAGAACCCAGACCTTCTGAGCCATAATTCAATGCTTATTCCATTAAACCACACTGAATATACCATGAAGATTCTATTTCTTTAAATTCCTGTGTACCCTAATCTGGCATACAGTTCTAGCTAATTGTCAAATTGCCATCTGTTCAGTGTTGACCAGGCCACCTGGAAACTAGAGTTAATGTTGTCATTGCTAATGTCTGTGGATATGGTACTGGTCACTAGCATTTCTGTGTTCTGGCTCTCTGCGTCAAATGCTAAAGCAGTGGCAGGGTCACTGCCAGTGGGTGCTAGCCTCATCTCTGATCTGGAAACAGGATGCTCTATCACAAGGGCTAGAAAGAAGCTTAAAGAAGACATTGTCCAACAAAAGGGATGTTTTAATTAGACATATGAAAATAATAACATTTACATAGCACTTTTAAGGTTCACAAATCACATTCCTCACAAATCTTACACTAGTCTAGTTCAGTGGTGTCAAATTCAAATAGAAACTGGGACCCACTAAACTGTATCCTGCAACATATTAACATTATTTATGTCCTATTGTATTTTTATTTATTCCGTTAAAATTTTCTCAATTATATTTTA